TCCTCTCCTGATGGTATCAGCTAGTTCTTGTATTTCTCTTCCATTATTTTTCATTCTTTGGTTTTTCTCTTCTTCCTTCTGATTTATTTCTAGATTTGTGTCTTCAATATCACTGATCCTTTCTTCCATTTGGTCGATTCTATTTCCCAAGCTTGCTATTTCATTTTTCAACTTTTGCAGTGTGTTTTTAATCTCCAGAAGTTCTATTTGGTTCCTTTTGAGGGTTTCTATCTCCTTGCTCTGCTCTCTTAGTTGTTTTTTCAATTCCTGAAATTGTTGATTTGAGTTGTTTTGGATCTCATTGAGTCTTTTCAGAAGTACCATCCTGAATTCTCCTTCATTTAAGTCACATATTTTTATGTCTGTAAGTTTATTTTATGGAGATTTTTCTCTTTCTTTCTGAGATGACTTGTCACCTTGGTTGTTCATGGTGTTTAATGGACTATTTCTCCGCCTGGGCATTAATGGAAGTATATTATGTCGTTTTTCCAGAAAGAAGATTTATTATATAAAGCTCTCTCTTAGCCTGCTACAAAGAAGGCACTTTTCTTTTGGTTTCCAGTAGGTGGCGTCTAAGCCTTTTGGATCCCTGCTTTATATAAAGCCTAAATAATGTCTTTTTTAATTTTCTCGTAGATATTTAATCACACTTGCTATTTTTAGTTTCAGCCCCTGTCAGTGTTAGCAACAGTTTTGGTAGCGTTTTCTCAAATTTCCCTGGTGCTTCGTGGTGATTGGTCTTGGTGATTGGTCTTGGGAGGAGGGGTCCTCTGGGTTGTGAGTTGGGGGCTGTGGCTCAGCCTTGGTTTTGCAACTTGGGCCAGTAAAAATCATCCTGCTTCTCTGCTTTCTGCCCTGATGACTGTGTCCTGCTGTCAGCTGCGTAGAAGTCCCAGCACTTCCAGGCAGGGCTGTTCAGGGAAGTTGCCATACCTTCTCCCCTCCCCTTCTTCCTGCAGGGAGCTCCAGAGGCTGTGAGAGGCAGCTTCAGTCTTAGCAGCTTTTGTTCAGATTCTCCTGGGGCTCCATGGTGGTCAGTCTTGGAGGGTGTGAGAGGAGGAGTCTTTTGGGTTGGGGGTTGGGGGTTGCAGCTCAGCTTCGGTTTTGCAACCGGGGCTGGTAAAAATCAACTGTTGTTTCTCTGCTGTCCCATCCCGCTTCTCTGCTTTCTGCCCTGATGACTTGGCCCTGCTGCTGGCTGCATAGAGGTCCCGGAACTTCCAGGCAGAGCTGATCAGGGAAGTCATCACACCTTCACCCCTCCCACTCCTCCTGCAAGAAGCTCTGGAGTCTGCGAGAGGCAGCTTATTTATTTCTCCTAGTCCACTACCTGACACCCGGGGTTCTGACCTGTGATAGTTCTTATGCACAGATCCCACGCTGAGACATGCTGGTATGCAGTTTGGGTGTTTTTTTTGTTCAGTTTTAGACGTTCAGTTTATTTTTGTTTCAAGGGGAGAGATCTGAGGATATCTCTCACTCTGCCATGTTTCCCAGAATCCCCCAAAGTTTATTGATTCTGGGCTCACTGAGAAGCTTCACAGATATTGCTCCTTTGGGAGCCCATGTTATGGCTCTACAAATTTAGTTATGATTTATTTACTGGTAGTTTCTGCATTCCACATGCAGAAAACTAGAGCTGCCAATATCATGGGTGGTTGATACAGGCTGGTGGAGAGCACACAGAACTCACAGTCAGAAGCCCAGATTCCATTCCTCTGATAAACCAGCTGATAGCAGAGCTGGTCACTTCTCTTTTCTGGGTCTCACTTTGCACATATGTGAATGAAGAATGAGCTGGGTGGTTTTTCGACCATGTTGCCAGGTGTCCTAGATTTCTGGGGATGCCTTAGAGGTGAAGATTCAGGAATTGCCCCATTTTCAAACATTGCAACCCCACCTGAACTATTTTATACACTGGATTTCCAAGTAAAGATTCTTTTGCAAAAGGGCTCTGCCAAGAACAAAACCAGTTCAAAACTACCAAATAGATAATCTTTAAGTCTCCTTCTAGCTCTCAAAGGCTATCCTCAGAATCATGGGGAATGTACCCCAAACACCACAATTGTTCTTTTCTTTCACAACTGAATTCAAAATTCAGATTTATCCCAAATCCTGTCTCTCTCTAATCTGCTCTGACAATAATCTGCTGTCACCAGGACCTCTGTTTCCACATGGTACCATCTGGTTGGAAGATACCAATGTGAGGCTGATGGCCTGGTGTGGGATGGGAGTGTAATATTACAACAATGGAAGGGAAGATGCCCAGAGAAAGCATTTAGCTCCAGAGAAAGCATTTAGCTCCAAGATGGCAATCATCACTGGTATATTTGTTCTTGGTCCTGGACCAGAGGCAAATTATTTGCCAAAATGACCTTGTGAAGGAAGGCTCACACCTGGTCCATCTCTGTAAATGAAATGGCCATTACCAGAGTGGTATTCAGCTGGTTCCAGAAACTCATGGATGATGCCTGTCCTGATTGGTGAGATATCTGTTTAAACTCATCTGTCATTAAATATTTTGAAAATCTTCCCTTCTTATTACAATATTCTTCCCATAGCAGGCATGTACTATAAGTATGCTGAGTAAACGGGACCTGAATTCAACAGCAGAAGTGGATGGCACAGGTAATCAGCAGCTCCATCTGACACCAGGAGGTCCCCAGGGAACACCTCAAGTCCAGGTAAGTTGAGCACCACAGAACTCCGTCTACGCTCATAGAACCTGTGCTCAAGAGACAGAAGAAAGGTCTTAGAGCCAGCATACTTGAAGGCAGGTATATCAGTCAGACCAGCGCTGGGCGTTTGAAAGAGATTGCTGGAAGCCTGATTAATGTTTGTTTTTAAGGAAGCATTTGGAGGCCACCCCAGGCTCCAGGCACAGAAGGGCTATAATGATACATACCTCCCACAGGTTCACTTGATACCTTTTTGAGCTATGTTGACCATTTATGATTCTGACTATCCACAGCAGAACAGGTCTTGAAAATACTAGACATGTTCTGACTCAGAAGAACACTAGAGGCTTTGCAAATTATGTATACAATCTCAGAGGTAGCAGGATGTATGGTCATGACCACCGGCACCCTTAGAGATCTGAAGCTGGTTGTTTAAAGCCACTATTTTTCTTAGAGAAAAATGAGCACTCTTTTTGGAAAAGCTTAGCAAACAGGCCTATCTATCTTCTTTCCTCTACCCCATTTCAAGAAACTTCCTGTCTGTCGGATATTCACAAAGTTAATGGTTGACATATCAGGCACACTGTAGGGCAACTTCAAAGCCACAAGGCACATGCTAAGTGATATCTAAGGAGAAAAAGGGGTAAAGAACTCTGGGAACCTGACTGATAACATCAAATTTCATAGATTTTCATAACTTCCCCATCAGAGCTGTTCACCTATTCCTTTGGTCTCTTCTGAGGAGCGAGATATTCCCTCTACTTATTCACTAATGTAATCCCTAAATTCTCTCTCTCTTTTTTGTAATCAACAAATAGCTTATCATGTAGGTACTTTATGTACAGAAGAGTTTTATCTCAATTTATCAACAAAAGTGTAGTTATGGAATTACCTTGAAAGTTGAGAGTTTGGGTCTGTTATACATTGGATATTATAATTTTGTCCATGCAGCCATGCAGCTCTCCTACTTTCCCCACAGAGAGGCCATGCCTGGAGCCCTATTAGTCCCTGTTCCAATCCTTTCTCTGCTACTTTCATTTTCCCACCTGCCTACTGCTTACATCCTCCATGCTTTGTAGCCAAGTTACACACTTTGACCTTCTGCATGAATAATGGCTTTTCTGCCTGCATTCTTATCTGTTGCCTCATAATTTTACATTCCTTGGTCTCATCCCTTCTTTCTTGTCAATACATCTGATGCTGGGGTCCTGATCATGCCCTGTTAGGCCTATCATGCTGTTGAGCAAAGTTGGATGTGTATTAGAATATTTTGTGGAATTTATTATTATACCTATCTCCAAGACCCACCCTCAGGATGCTGCTCCAGTAGGTCTGCATCTTTAGTTTTATCCAGCTCCCTAGATACTTGCTACAGCTGGAGAACAACTCACTTTGAGGATACAAGTGTTTTAATATAGCCTTTCCTACCTTTAGATTTTAAAGGTTATTTCAAATTTTCAGTCTTTTGCTTAAAGTATTTCCAGATCATTTTACTTGTGAACAGTCGGACAAGTCATTTAGGAATTTCTATTAATGAATAGCCTATGTCTCATACACTCTTACAAAATATATAAAGTAGGGTTGCCTGAGACTCTGCAGGTAGATGCCATAGGGATAAAAGAAAGTTAATTTTTAGTTATAAAGTTTTGCTTCTTCCAAGTAGTCTCCTCTGATGCTCAAAGAAGTGATTTCTCATATTTGTACACTGCTGTGCATCCTCACTAGATCAGGCCCTTGGCATCTTCCATCTGTACTAACACAGTTGCCTCTTAACTTTTTAATTCACCTTTAGCTTTATCTTCTTGATTCCATCCTACACCCAGTCACTAAATGTGAGTTATCTAAAATGCAAGTCTGACTTAGTACGTCCTGGCTTCAAACACTTCAGTGGCCTTTCATCTTGTATCAGATAAAAACTTTTTAAAGCATATACATGAACCTTCTATGATTTGTCTCCTGATATTCCTTACTTTGAAATTTATTCTCTGAAAACAGGGAATAAATTGTAATCCCCACACAAAATATTTCACACTTTGGTGCCTTATCTGGGAATGTTTTGCCCTCTCCAAGACTTTCTAACTCCTACTCATTCCATGAGATCAAGTTCCATTTCTAAGTAATTAAAAGGGAAATACTTAGATAAAATTGGCTCAAATTTATTCAATTAGCTGTATTCCTGATGTTTTAAAATCTGTTTTGACTGTCCTTTCTCTGCTCTTGCCCCCCACCCCCCACTCTTTTTCTCTCTCTCTTTATTGGAAAACTTTAGAGTGATGTTGCAGACACTGCTACTAGCCAACCCAATGCGCATGCTCTCCATTTTTCTTACTATCAAAACCCTGCTTTGCTTGAGGTGTTATGTGCTGAGTTTATATATTTACTTGCTCAGATACCCTTGTAGCTAGCAGAAGCCATGTGACTTAAATCTGGCCAATAAGATTAAAACATAAATTACAGGGTGTGGCTTCTGGGAAACTTTTTCAAAGGCGACAGAGTTAGTTAACATCGTCCTTTTACCTTTTGCCCTTTGCCTTTCTTGTTGTCTTGAATGTGGCTTGATATCTGAAATTATACCAGTAATCTTTTCTAGTTGGATTCTGTTATCTGCAGACAAATGCTATCCCGCAGAAAAATGACACAAATCTCTCCATCTTGGACTTGCATCTCTAAGAATAAGGTCATATTTTTGCATTCTGCACTCCTGTGGCTTGTTCACCACCTACTTATGATGATGTTTCATAACAATATACCATTAGAGTTACAACTTCATATAACTCTCCCTTTTCTATTATTTGCCAACCCAGTCAGTATTCATGGTGGTTATAAAAATGGAGGGGGATAAAGTAGATGGGAATTGGAAAAGTTACAGTAAAAAAAGTTACTGAGAAATATAATTCTAGTTTCATCATTTTGGATACAGGACATTGGGACTGGCACATTATGAATTAGTGGAATACAAATCCAGCCAAGAATTTGAGTGCTATTCAAAAGATATTAGATAACATAAAATATTGGGAGCCCACAAGAAAAAGTCCTCTGAGAAGAAATATTAAAAACTTTCCCATAGACTTCATACTTTTCTTGATAAAGGCACTAGAAGCATACAATGAGATTTGGTATTTTTGGGACTAGAGGATATTGGAAAAGTTACAATAATTTGAATGAGAAATGTAATTTAGGTGAACTTTGGGGAAAAGTTTACTATTTTGAGCTTGAATTTAGATGTTATACAATCTGATAAGTTTCTTAAGACTGTATAAGAAATCTTTATAATTCCCTGGAGACCAATGGAGTGGAAGGATTAGTCTTCTCCACCATGTCTAGGTTGGCTTATATGTTTATATTCATGCTTCTGTAGCTCTCTGCAGTGGTGGTTAAGAATGTGTAGTCAATTGCCTGGATTTTAATCTTAGCTGAGTGACCTTGATTAAGCAAGTTAATAATCTCTCTGGCCCTGACTTTGCCTTTCCCATTTGTGAAATGTAGACAATAATCACATCTATTTATTGTGTGAAGATGGAAAAAGATAATCAATATGAAGCACTTGGATCAGTGTCTGGAACTTAGTAAGCTGTCAGCAAAGGCCATTATATTGATTACTGAATGTATTATGATTTAATGTTCAATTTATGTGTCTGTTTACTCCAAGAGACTGCCAGTTCCTTCAGTGTAAGAAACATGTCCTATCATCATTCATGTTAGTGGGTGCTCCTTTAATACTCAATTCATTCTTATTAATGAACACAAAGAAATGCAATACTCCTCTGATGTTGTCCTCCTTCATGGAAAGTATCTTCCTTCATAAGATAGTTTTGTAGATTCATGCCTTATCTCCCCTCTTAGCCTAAGCTCCTAGCTCCTGGTCTCAATCCCTGTGTTTAGATCATAAACATTTGTTGAGCCAGTGGAACCATAACCAAACCTGCATACCAGAGTCATCACTGTCATTTCCTAACATGAACTCCTGCAGAGCGTGTACTCCAGTAATAACTAGTTCATCACTGTTCTTTAAACTTACCTTGTGCATCGCACCTCTACATCTTGTCTCTGGTAGTCCCTATCTTCCTGCCTTTCTCCACTTTGTCTGCCTGACGAACTCACATTCCTCTCTAAATTCCAGTTTAGATTCTTCCTCCATGAGTCCTTTCTAACTTGCTCAGGGAGAGCCAACTCTCTCTCCCTCCCTCTCCTACCCCCACGTAGTGTCTTTACTCTATAATGATTTCATCGAAGCCTCATGGTGTGTCTTATATATCACAGAATCTAAGCACCTAATGTAGAACTTGACATAAAGCAGGTATTTTCAAATAAGCTTGTTAAATAAATAGGTATGTTGATCTATAGAGTGATAGACACACAGTTCTCAAATGAAATTGCTTTTCCACTCTGGAATATGAATGAACAATTCATATTGCATATACAATAGCAAAAAGCAATTTGAGTCTTCCCTTTTCCATAAAAGGGGGTTAAATTATCCCTATACATTTCTCCCTTGTCTGGGGTAACTTTAACATAAGGCATCCATTTAGAAGCACAAACATCAAATTTTGGAGTTCGATTTGCACGTATGGAGCAGAGGGAAGACAGCTGGCTCACACAGGGCCGGAGCTTTGACACCAGGATGCTCATTTTAGAAAGGTGGGCATGGCCCTGGAAGGGCATAATGGGATCTCTTTTAAGTTCGTCAGAAGAGGGCATGGCTTAATAAAAATATCAAGAATTAGAGTTGCAACCATATGGATACCTAGGAAAATAATAAGAAAGAACATTTGTACATAATAACATAAAGAGACATGGATTGGTGCAGAAAACCTGCCCTTGCATCACCCATGCATGGCACTGGACTAGATTTCTGAAAAGGAGCCCGTATATGTGTCAGCCAGGGCTGCTCAGATTGTTGAATTAATAATATTAATGCAAATTATTGCATGAATTCAGAATGACTTTGAATTTAGTTTTCATGTCAAGAGGGGTGTTGGTGATCCCAAATTGGTATCTTATTTTTGTCGTTCCCAATATTAGAATTACTTCTTAGAAAAAATGGCAT